TGGATATACGAAGTTATTCAAAAATGGAATTTCAGTTTTTGAATTAATTTTTGATAATTGAGTGGTGCTTAAAGTACAAAAAACAAACAAAACGCTTACTGAGGATGGTGTAATGGCTGGTGTAAAAGTTTCATAAAAGACTGATTTTTTTTTTTTTATGACAATTCAAAGTCAGTGTGTGGACTGTATTTCAGGATCATTATGTTTTTTAATATCAGATTTTTAGCTTTTATTTAATGAATATGAATGGAGTAACTCTTTAAGAAAATTTAAAAACTGAAATTTAATATTTGTAAAAAAAAATTTGTATTACTTCGAATAATGTGTTAAAACTTGTGTACACTTGCATTTAAAGTGCCAAGTATTTGACTATTTTTGACTTGATGGGTACATCACTTGTCATTAAATCATAATGTTTTTGTGAATTAAAAATTCAAGTAACATTAACACAAAAATCACATTTCTGGTCACGTAACTTTTACGATAGATTTTTTTTTAATGATCTCAGACTACCTAATTTATCACTGACACTTAGCCTATTTAAAACGAGTGGCTGTTTTGCTTTGCCTTATGTTTTTACATATTTATTTATCTAAGATTTTAGTTGATTCTGTGACATCCTTCTGTAGGAGACAAATCATAGCAGAGATACAGCAGTTCCCTTTTCACACTAAAACAAGAGCATTGTGCCTGTTTATGAGACTTTACTGCCTTTGAAGTGGTGTTCAACATTTTTCATGTCAGTTTCAATGGCTTAAAAACATAAAACAGACCTCAAATTCCTTGGGATTCAGTTTTCTTTTGTTGACTTTATCCCATCAGGTATATAAATATAACCACTGATTAGGCCACCAGCATTACACACAGAATGATGAATTTAGTTTCTTGCTCTGAGGGAACTTCCTTTAGAAAATGATACATACTTAACAGGATGCAATGGAGGGATGCTGGCAGCCTAAATCAGTCTGAGGAGTGAAAAGAGCCCCTGTTCGAAACATTTTGGCTTCCTTTGATGCTAAGACTGTCCGAGGTTGTCTTATTGTTTAGTTTCGTAGCTTAGAGATCATCCACTGTGTGAGCAGATATTGGGTTTGCCTTTTTGTTTTTGTTATTTGACACAGTATCGATTAAATGGATAATTCAGAAGAGCTGACTGCTGCTGTTTTATTTTCTCTCGTTTTTCTTTCAGTTCTCTAAATGTGCAGAGAGATCAGTCTGGTCAGTTTGGTGTGTTGCTCAAAGAGCAGAGAGGTTCTCTGTAACTTTCCACTGTATGGACGCTTAGCTGTTTATGTTCTCACACTTTATTATGCGCTCCCATTTATGTACATTCACATGCATCCAGGCGCACCAAAACAAGCCACAGATGTAAATGCTCACCAGATGTAGTTGAGACTGAATAAACAATAGAAGTTTATCACTGATATATGCATATAATACTCGTTATCGTCACAAGAATGATCTGATTGTGATAGGAACACCAGGATTGTTACTGGATGAACTGTTATACAAGCACTTATTATTTAAAAGGGGCATCTGGGAACTATCAGCATGTTTCTAAATACAAGTATTTATACAGAGTTCTCATGAGGGTCCATGAGCCAGGTTTTAAGGATCAGGAGACAAATATGGTCAGAGCTCAAGAAGTATATGAAGTGGAAATCGGACAAGAATTCTGAAAGGAAATAAGAGCATGGACTACGACTTTTAAGGAATAAGCTATTGTTTGCTCTGGATTGCTAAGAAAATCTCTTCAAAGTGAAGTGAAGTAGTTTCGCAAAACTGTTTACTTTATTGTACTAGTACTCGAGCAACAATATTTATGGACCTCTGGTGTTTTTATCTGGGTCTTGTCATGCACTCAGGTATGTCTGCACTTGAATTATTTGTCTCAGACATGAATGCAAGAACCTGATTTACACATGGACATGTTGTAGCAGCCTGTTATTTTCCCTGTCAAATAAATTGCTGCCATTACAGGAACATTGTTTCAGCACAATATACACTCAGTAATAACCAGTGATTGGCTATGATCCAAATTGCTATGATTTTTCTCAGAATTGCGATTGAGGTTTTTTGGTTAAGAATTGTGGTTTAAAAAGTCGTAATTTCCTTTTTTTTTTTATTCTGTGGTGGAAACGACTTTCATACGATCATGATTAGTTGTGTAAATATGTGTATAGGTCTTGGTCTTTTCATGGACCTGTTATTTTCCCTGTCAAATAAATTGCTGCCATTACAGGAACATTGTTTCAGCACAATATCCACTCAGTAATAACCAGTGATTGGCTATGATCCAAATTGCTATGATTTTTCTCAGAATTGCGATTGAGGTTTTTTGGTTAAGAATTGTGGTTTAAAAAGTCGTAATTTCCTTTTTTTTTAATTCTGTGGTGGAAACGACTTTCATACGATCATGATTAGTTGAGTAAATATGTGTATAGGTCTTGGTCTTTTCATGGACCGACGGAGCTTCCTGCATACAGTCTTGTCTTATACTAGACTATTTCTGGTCTCCTCCCTCTGATATCTCAAGATGTGCTTGGGTTAGTAGGGTTTGATTATTGGGGGTTAGAGTTTTTGTATATTTTATGAACAGCCTCTGCTGAACATTTTAGGGCGCTTTTGTGACTATAAGTTCTTAAGTTCTCTCACTGTTCTTGAGAATGAGTTGTCTTGTGTTGTTTTCAGTTTTTCATTTTTGCACAGAGAAATATGGATCATTGTTCAGAGTGTGTTTTTTCTGAGCTGATATACTCTAAAATTAGCTTATTATTAAATTAACGATCATGGTCTTTACCAGCATGTACTTAATTTAGCCTGAATAATAACATATACATTAAAAAAAAAAAATTTCTTCGTAATTTGAGACATTAACACAAGACTCCTGATACGTCGAATAGGATGTGTGTTGCGTTTGTCATGACTGTTTGGTTTTACGAAGGCAAGTTAGTAGGGTTTGATTATTGGGGGTTAGAGTTTTTGTATATTTTATGAACAGCCTCTGCTGAACATTTTAGGGCGCTTTTGTGACTATAAGTTCTTAAGTTCTCTCACTGTTCTTGAGAATGAGTTGTCTTGTGTTGTTTTCAGTTTTTCATTTTTGCACAAATAAATATGGATCATTGTTCAGAGTGTGTTTTTTCTGAGCTGATATACTCTAAAATTAGCTTATTATTAAATTAACGATCATGGTCTTTACCAGCATGTACTTAATTTAGCCTGAATAATAACATATACATTAAAAAAAAAAATATTGAGACATTAACACAAGACTCCTGATACGTCGAATAGGATGTGTGTTGCGTTTGTCATGACTGTTTGGTTTTACGAAGGCAAGTGTTTCTCACAAAAGCCTTTGTGTCCAGTAAATGAGCACAATACTCCTGATGAATGATGGTGGTTTAGGTTTCAGTGGGCTTTGAAGAATGGCGTAATGCTACATGTGTTTGTGTTTTGCTCTTCCCTTCGTTCCTGACCTTCACTTTTTTGTTTTAAAAGCAGGGACAGTGTATGTGAGAAAGAGAAGGGCATATGAAATAGAATTAGGGAGGAGGGGAAAAGGAAAAAAAACTTTGTGGCTTGCATTGCCCTGAGGCCTCTCTCATCCTGCCACCCTGAAATCGCAGCCACAGTAGTTTTCATGTCTTTTTTTCTTGTAAGAACATCACTTAAATCTTATATCTCAAAGATCCTGTAAAACATCGAGGCATGTTTACAGTTCCATAATAAAAAAGCCTCCTTTATGCACATTGTTTGAATATGAATTTACAATAATAACTCAGAATGCATAGCAAAAAGAGATGCCCTCAGTAATACCAGTTTCCAGTAGTTTGTAATTTGTGGTTAGTTTCTACATACATCTGAAATACTGGTATCAACCGGGTGTTTGATGGATCTCATGCTGTTTTCACTGATCTCTATTATCAACAGAGCACAATGTGAGCTCTGTCCTTTTCTCCGCACCGGTTGGCATATTGCGTGACCACAACTCAAGTGGAAAGTGACCTCCCACGTGGACACAAGAAAACACATTACAGACACACTCCTGCTTTCAAGTAAACCCCAGTGAGATGACAACTCAAGCGTTTGTTTAAACAGTGAATGATTGGAGCTTTACAACCAGAGAATCAGGCCAAATGGCCTCATGCAACTTCTTAATTGTTTTTGGACGCAAGTTTTTTTTTAACACATATGATACTTAAAAATTGGATATGTACACTTTCAGGTTGATATCTTTCAGTTAAAGAGGACAAGACATTAGGTTTTGATTTGTTATTCTAGCAGTATTCAAATAAGCACTGAGGTTGATAGGCAGCAAATTTCCTTTCAGTAACTGTTTTGGCTTTCAGTTCTTCTCATTGTCATCACATCAGATGTGCCACAGGATGTATGCTGTCAGAGGAATTACTTTAGGTCAAAAAAAAAAAAGTCCACTAGCTATTGTATGTTTACCCAATACAGTGCTGCTGCCAAATCTAAAAGTAGCCGTCCTTGGATCCAAATTAAACAGAGAAGCTCAAATAGTGTTTTTCTCATATAGCGTGTTTTAAGTACTTAGACCTTTAGGCTTTTTGTGTTTTTAGTAACCCAGACAGGGCATTTTAGGGCATGTTTATCCAGACATGTTCCTATTAGGGAGAAATATCTAAAACTATGAATGTCTAAAAATCTCTCTTAAAGACTGTTGGAAGTGATTTCACACCTTTTAACCCCAGCTTTTGCTGCACAATATTTGATGGTTGGTTTGTAAGAGGGGTGCAAAGCACTTTAACTGCAGTATATCACTTTCAGCAGGGTAAATCCTGCTCTTGGCGATACGCCTGGCTGCAGAATTCCAACTCTGATCAAACACACATGAATCAGCTTCCCTTTAAAATGACAAACAGGTGTGTTCGAGCTGGGCCGCAACCAAACTCTGCAAAAAGGCATGCTGAGACCGAAAGTAATGCGTTCACTGTTTCACTTCTGCTTTATTTTTCTGTCTGTCTATTTCTCAGGGTGACCATACGTGGGCCACCATGCTGGGGCAGAGCGTGAGGCTGCAGCCTGTTTCCATCCAAAGCCTCTCGGAGCTGGAGAGAGCACGTCTGCAGGAGGTGGCCCTTTACCACTTAGAAAGAAGAAACCTGGACTTTAAGATCAGCATCCCTAGAGGTACATTTCCTTTTTGAAATGTCTTGTTTTGTGATGACTGGTAATCATGCATGACAGAAGAAGTGCATAGATTTAAATACTATATTATAAATGGCTTGAGTCACAGTCTAGATATGATTATTTTAGACAGATGCTTATCGAATTCTCAAGAAACTCATGCAGATATTACATTACAGTCAATTCATAGGTATTTCAGAGGGATTTCCGATCTACCAGATAAGACTGCTGAGAGGTGAAAATGAGATTTGTGAGTACAGCAGTGCTATACCAACAGAACATCTAGATTGTTGCATGGGTCATGACCCAAAAATAGGTTCCAGGTCACTTTGTCATAGACGGCAAGGAAGAAACAGCTCTGAATCCAATTAATAAAATGTAATCAACCATATTATCTTGCATAGTTATAAACAGACTTAACTCTTTCTATTATAGACATATCTTTTGTTGTTGACGCCAAAGACTGTGTCTCTAGTCAAGGCATTTTAAAACAAATTCATCTGTCACTTGGTGGAAGTCGCCAAATTAGGCAAACGCCAACATGGACAGATTGGGTGACATGTCCTTATCCCTGAAATCCAAGAACAAAACTGTGTGAAATATAAGACAATACAACCTTAGCCCAGTATTTGTTCCATGTGTTTGCCTTCTGCTGCCGTTTATGCCATTTGTAATATCGCTGAGCCTTTGCAATTCATTGGACTCATACATTTCATAATACATTTCAATATTTGGTTTTAAAGACGTTTTGTGTGCATTTGTACAATAAAGAGTTTTGGTACTGCTGAGTTGCCTTTCGGGTCAAGAAGCAAAATCATTATTAATAATAATTAACAAAACCACCCCTGTTTGTTATTTGATAATGTGAGATGGCATTTTGTTATCATGTGAGAGTCTCCTTATGTCCCACTATGGATGGGAAGTGGTATTCCCAGCACGTACAAGCAGCTCCACATGATCAGATCAGAGAAGGTCATCCTCTGTTCTCTATAGTGGAGTTTTCAACTGGTCATCTGTGAGAAGACCTCAGCCGGCACTTGGGGAAGCAGCCACCACAATTTATGGGAATATTTACGGAACATTTTCCTCCCAAAGGAGAAATCTGTCAGATTCAGCCTGGTGGTTTATTCAGCCGCTCCTCTTGGAATTGTCATCAACGTGTATGGCAGCTATTTTTGGGGAAGATGAATGTCCTTTGGAGAGTTAAATGAAACTTTGTGAAATGCACTTAAGAGAATTCGAAAAGCATGTCATGAGTGACTGACCTCTCTGTTTGGCTTTGGTTATTTTCTTGGTTTGTTTGTGGTTATTTAAAAGTTAAGTACTTTAAACATTTTGCATTTTGTCTGTAATATTGTGATTCCTAATCTTTGTAAACTCTAGCTGTATGCAGCCTGAAGCTGTTGTTTTGTTGTCATTGTTTTGTTTTAGTCTCTTGCTTTATAAAAGTGGCTCCTTTACTTTGTTTTCAATCTCTGCTTTGGCCTGAAGAGATTATTTATCCTGAATCAGGCTTATATCTCAGCATGCTCTCTGTTCATTCCCCTAATCATCCTCTCTCTGATGGGAGCTGATGGGGGGCTTTAGCCCATGATGTCTTGGCTTGTGGGGAGGGTTGGGGGCAGTTGCCATGGAAATAAACTCTCATTTCCTCAAGCCATGGGAATATGACCCCACCTAAAGCCCCTCTGGATGTGCTACAATCCCCTTTCGTTTTCTCTATCTCTCTGGACATCTTAACAGAGCTTCTTTTAAACCTTTTTCCCCTCAGCTCAATAACTCAGACCTCTTCTGATTCAAACCAGTAAAAGTATATCTGTAAGTTAAAGGCATAGCAAAATGGAACCAAATTACCAGCACTTACAGACAGGAAGAGGTTTGAGTGTAAACATGTCTGTTGGTTTGAGTTTAAAACGTTGCAGCACTGTGGGGGAAGTTTTAACCTAGTAAAGGGAACAGCTATTCATTACATTTTTACTGTTCTCCTGAGGGCCGTATAGACAGAGTACATCAGAGTTATGAAAACACACAGACAAAAGGTGTTTTAGTTTAGCTATACTTATTTTCAGCTCCAAATTTGGAAAGAATACTCTTTCTTTACAGCAATAAATGAAGGATAATTGTGGTTGGTTATCTACGTAGGAAATGTTTCTGCTTCTAATTGTGTCTTACCCACAGCCTCCACTGATATAGGGTTTATATAGTGCTATAGTGTTTGCTTTGCCAGCTCTCTGCCCATTCCTGGAGATTTCACTTTACTAGCAGCCATCTAAACGGAACACATTTTATTTTTGGGAATGGAAGACTTGTTGTTACATGCATCTGTTTAGGTGTTTGTGTTATGTGCCACTACCTATTTTACGTGTTTTAAGCATAAGATTTACATTTTTATATAATACTGTTTAAAAGTTTGGGTAAGTTATTTATTTATTTTAAGAAATTAATATTTGATTTGGCAAGACAATTTAAATTTATCAGAAGTTACAGAGAACACATTTAAAATGTTACAAAAAATCTATTTAAAATAAATGCTGTTGAATGAATTTCCCATTCATCAAAGTATCCGGGAAAAAATGCATCACATTTTCCACAAAAATAAAGACAGAATAATAGTAATAATGTTATAAAAAAAACAAATAATAATAAATGTTACTTGAGCATTAAATCAGCAGAATGATTTAATATTTAATATTAGAATGATTTCTGAAGGATCATGTTACACTGCTTTCAGTGTAAATTCAGATTTGCCCTCAGAAATAATTTACATCTTAAAAATATTACAAATTGAAAACAGTTATTTTAAATTGTAATAACAGTTGACAATATCACTATTTTAATTGCGTTTATTTGATTTTTGATCAAATAAATTAAGCAAGCATAAGAGATTTTCAAAAACGTAAAAAAAAATCTTAGACCCCAAACTTTTGAACAGTAGTAGTGCATTTAAGTAACATAAAATTTTTAGAAATTATATTTTGTGTAATTATGTATGTATAATTTTATATAGGTGTCTACACAAAAGCAACCATAATCCTGTTTTTTCTTTTTATCTCCAGAGATTCATAAAAGGAGGAAATCACTACGGAGAAAGTTTGACTCCTTCTCAAAAGAAAAGAAAGAGCGAGGTAAGAGATGCTTTTATGTCATTTTTCAAATAAATCTCATGCAACCTGTGTGTAAATGACTAGAAAGGCAATGGTTTAAATTTTGTAGTCTCACAAAAGAAAATTCCAAAGAAAACATGGTTTGTCTTTGTGATCATTTTTAAATGAAAAATTAAATGATCTTCCTCTGAAGTGCCTTTCTATTTTTGCCAAGGTCTACCATCAGCTATGTAGCTATTGCACTGCATTAGCAAATTAGGCTGGCTCCGTTCTAGTACATAATAATGGTCATTTCTCAAGATAGACAAAATCAAGCCCCACCCTACATTTTTCTTGTTGAATATCCCATTTTACTTTTAAAGGGGTCATCGGATGCAAAATTCACTTTAGAAGTTGTTTGAACATAAATGTGTGTTGGAAGTGTGTGTACACATCCATCCTATAATGATAAAAATCCACCAAGTGGTTTTTTAAAATCCCTATTTTAAAATCCCCTTTCTCAAATCAGGCTGTTCTGAGATTCCTGTCAGAATGACTTAGTTCTGCACAGGCCCCTCCCACGATAGTTGATTGACACTAGCGTTTTACCTTAGACCCGCCCTGAGTGAGCTGAGAGCTGTCCGCCATTGTGTCGACTCCGGTGCAGGGGAAGACAAGAACGTCTCAGATTAAGCGTTTGAGGTGCGACTGAACCGAATCATTTAAACAGTTGATTAATTCAGGAACGAAACACCGTCATGTTGCACAGAAAGGCAAAACAGCGCTGTGGCTGTGTTGGAATTTTTTTGTTGGCAAAATAAAGCAAAAACAGGCAATATAGTGTCTAAAACGTAAGTCTCATAATATTACCTTCTTGTTTATTGAACTGTTGAATAAAATCACATTTGTAATCATGCTGATTTTAGAGGTGAAAACTGGCACTCTTCGTGTGATATTGACTAACTTTCTTTCTGTGGCATTTTTATGCACAATGTCTCCCAACAGACATTCTACTGACTGCATGTAACTTTGCAAGTACATGTCAGCTAGCAAGTCTACTAATATGCTACTAACATTCAAATGAGAGTTAGTAGATATGTAAAGATATGTAAAGAGCTCAGACTGATCTCAGAGCGGCTCCGAAGTTGCCGGAGCTAAAGCAGCACTTATTCCTGAGTCTGTCGGATTTGTTTGGCCATGTTCCAGGAGTTCAGCCAAACGCCTGCCACCTGCAACCACAGTCTGGCACTTGTTTCCAGCATGTGCGTCAGCTCAAGGTGGTGGGTGGGGAGGGCTGAATGAAGGATGGTGATAGGGTAGAGGGAGGAATTTATTTAAAGAGGACTCAATCCCCATTCAGCTTATCAAGGACTAGCAACTAGTGGACCAAACTAACCTGACCTGCCACTAGACCTTTAAGCCCTGGGGCAGAGATAGGAGAAAAGGGATTGTGAGGATAGGAGGGAGGAGAGAGAACAACAAGACTGCTTTGCTTTTGTGTCGCTTTGACAGCCAAAACAGATTAGATGTAACCTCAGTGTAGTCCTGTTAGGGTGTTAAAGATGCTATTTAAAAGAGTGTGCTTTACGTATGCATCATGTCTTTGTACCTCCCCATCTACAAAATAAATAGTAGTTCAATTACATTTAGGCTGCTTTAGTAGAATATGTTAAATAAAACTTTCTTTGAGGTAAAGCATGTAAGATCCAGCAGAAACGGGTTTTTAAAAGGTGCTATTACATCTCATGTTTTAATTCGTTCTGAAATCATTTAAAGGGGTCATATGATGCGATTTCAAATTTTCCTTTCTCTTTGGAGTGTTACAAGCTCTTGGTGCATAAAACACAGTATATATTATAACGGTTGTTTATATATTTTTGTTACTTTATTTTTCATTTATTTATTTTTTGTTTTATGTATGTATGTATGTATTTATTTACATTTCCAAATATGTTTAAGAAGTATGTTAATGTGCCATATGTTGAATAGAGCTTTCTAGATTTAATCCCAGTGGGCAGATAAAGATGTTTTCCTTCTTAGCACAAGAAAAGCAAACAGCAGCTACACGAGATCACTTACTGAACAGCACAGGAAGAGTGCATTTAGATACTGATCATATTAAAACTGAAGATATGTCTGAAACATTATAGTCTTTATATGATACTTTCAAGTCATGTAAAAATCTACATAATGTCATTTGTGGCCCATAGATCTTTAAAGTGCAGTATCATTCATAGTCCAAAAAAAAAAAAAAAACAAGCCACAAGAGACAATCAAATATTAACTTTAAAGGACAGTTCATGCAAAAATGAAAATTCTGTCATCATTTACTCACCTGTATGACTCTCTTCTCTCTTCTGTGGAACATAAAAGAAGATATTTTCTCCATACAATGGAAGTCAATTGGCATCAAAACATTCTTCAAAATATCGTCCTTTGTGTTCCACAGTAGAAAAAAAAGTCATAGAGGTTTGGAACAACATGAGGGTGAGTAAATGATGACAGAATTTTCATTTTTGCATGAATTATCCTTAATAATTGATTGTCTCTAAGTCTCTTCACATTACAGGTGAATAGGGTAAAAAAAAGTATGCTTTCCCAGCTGATTAGTCACAGTACATTTAGACAATTACAAATTTCATAATAAAAACTGGAAGTTTAGTGTATGTACAGTAAGTGTTACAGAAATGGAGATGCAGGATTAAAAAAAAACTCATTTTGAGAAAACTGCTTTTAAAGATATGTATTGCAATTGAAATCTACAGACGCAAATTGATAAAGTGTAATAAAATAAACAATTAAATGTGTGTTTTGGATGTTTCCTTTCCACTAGTCTGAAAGAAGACAAGTTATGGATGCAAAATCTCAAAATTGACCTGAGAAAAAATAGGCTAGGATAAAATATAATAATATCGAATATATATAATATAAAATAAAAACTATAGGATAGGAATTGATAATGAGTTAGAGGTTTTTGTGATGACATTCGATATGTGCAGAGTCATTGTTTACTGAAATAAAGAAAGAGTTTCACATGTTTCACACACTCCCTTCCTGAAATGTAGTGTAAAACTAGTCCAAAACTCCACAATTTTGACACACGCTTTATGTTACATCTAAGCAAATAAGCTTTGGAAACTATAGACACTAAATATCAAAATCTATCCATGTAATTAAAACAAATTAAATAGTCCATAAGCCTACTGTTAAGGTCATCTGTCTGTTAACTGTTTGGATTCTTCCACAGAGTCTGCGGCCAAAGCCTTCGGTATCCCGCTCGCCCAGGTAATCGCAAACGACCGGGCATACAAGCAACGGCAGGATGCCCTGAAAGAGAGCCGACGGGACTGTCTGGACCTGGAGGCCAGTGTTCTTCACTTCCGTGCCGAGAAATGGCAGCACAATGGAAACCAGCCGCTGGGCAATACAGCCTTATCATCACCTGATGCTGCCTCCTCACCAGCACTGGAGGCCCACAGCAAACCTCCCTCATCAGCGTTCATGGACAACACCTCACGCACACACAGACGGGTAAGTGCATATTATCTTTAAAACTTCACCAACATCCTCATCAAAAATCTTCTAAAAGCTGTGGTATGTATGATTTTGGTCTTTTGATCTAGTAATCAGGAGCTGATTATTAAAACACAGAACCCGGGTCATGTTGAACATCTAACCTGAAAAACATCTGCAATTCATTATTACACATAACATCAAATGCATAACTTTCGGCCTGACAGCTATACATGACAACACATTTACGTGTGCTATTGCTTTGAGAGATTGTTGCTGACATCTCATACGTGAGCAAATAAAAGAAGAGGACACTATCTACGCAAATATAAATCAGAGCCAATAAAAACTCCTTGCTATCACTAACCTGGCATCATTTCATTCAAAGAATTCCCCATGCAAGTGCTGATATGGTACATCTCACAGATAAAAAAAAGAAAGAAAAAAAAAAGAGATAATTCACTGATCTCATGGACACTGTCAATAATAAACTTGATTCAGAAATACAAAAAAAAAAAAAAAGCTTTATGGAGTCGTACTTTGAGATACGGTAAAACAGATGTATATGCTCTAAGAAGTTATAAAGGTAATAAAGTTCATTTCAAGAATTTCAATTTCAATTAAAATTAAAATAAAATATAGAATTCTAATTAATTGTAATTAAAATTAAAATACTAAAAGTAAAAATGTCTGTTTTATTATATCATTTTCTGATCATAGCACATGATTATTCAAAGCTAAAAGGTGTTAAAAACTCTTTTATTCACTGTCATTGAACTAAATTGGATCAACACTGTATAAATTGTGTAGATAAAATGCACTTACTTGTACTTAATACACTTTTGATCAAAAATAAGCCATGATCCTGAGGACATCCTAATGATTAGGTTGACAGACTACAGAAGAAGAATTCATATAATCAGAAAAAACTAGTAAAAGGTCTCAAGTTTCAGAAAATATGCCAGTATTGCCCTTTATTGTGTACCTAATTTTTTTCCAAATGAATGAAGCTCATTACATCTAGTAGCCAGTCATCACAGTCCATAGCAGAAGAATGTTGGAAGAAAATCCCAGTAAACCTGTGACATTTGGAGGAATTCCAAAAAGTGCACACAAAGGACAAGGCTCGATCTGTTTCTTTGTGACAAGAGGAAAAACATTTAAAAATGAATAGCCAAAAAGAAGTTAAGGATGGACATAACCAAAACATTTGTATTAAGTCTGCATGAGCCTGATGGCAACGACTGCATATGAGATCAACATCATGCCTAATTTTTGCCAGCCTCACTTTTGTCCAAAAACAATTCGATGAATACATTTTAATTGGATAAGACTATATCGTGCACAAATAGAGCAGGTATAGACATGGGACAAGACCTGGCTCCAGATCTCATCTTCAAATGTGAGGCAAAAGTCTGACTCCCACTTAATAAAGGAGAGAGAAGGAGGAGAAATAGAGGAGATCAGCCTGTATAGAGTAGAGTAGACAATACACTCTTTTTATCTAAGGGTACTTCGAGAATTTGACCTACATGGACTTTGGTGGAAGATTCGGAAAGTCAGGAAATGAGTTTTTAACAAAATTTCGGAACTGCAAGTATGTAAAAAATGAACACTAGACAGGGAGAATTGTTGTGTTATCTGAGAAAAGCTGGGAAAAATAATATCAGTGTAGATGTCATTGACAACTGAAATCCCTGCTCTCTGCCAAATATTAAATGCTTGATCGGGAATACAGGATTACCAATGGCTTCATTCTAGTTTAATTGTAATTCTGCCTCTGGGTTGGCTGCTGTGATTCAAATTTAAGTTCAAGAGTTTAAAAGGCATTCTCAATTTAGTTCTGCGTGGTGCACAACCCTGGTTTGAAGACCATAACGTTCATCAAAGTGATATGTTTATGAACTGTATGAGTGTAACAATGTCATGAGCAGCAATAAACTACATTTTGGCATTTTATAATACTAATGTGGATATTTTGGTGAAAGTAACTCAAAAGTAACTCAAAAGTAGTGTAACGCATTACAATTCAGAGACAGTAATATTGTAACGTAACTAATTACTTTCAAAAGACAGTAACTAGTAATATATAATGTATTACATTTTGGAAGTAACTTGCCCAACTCTGTACATAATACTGTAAACCCAAATACTTTTTGCGAATTTTGTTCTTTCCCTGAAATATCAGTAAACTAATTAGAATACATCCTCAGGCTAATAACACATAACACCCGGGTTCAGGTTGCAAACAGAAGGTCACCCAAATGAGACACCACTCAAAAAACACTGAAATAGATACGAAATCAGGACAATGAAATATGAACCCAGCAGTTGTTTACTATCTCTCTGTCTCTCTCTCGCTAGGGTTAAAAACTTTGGGGATTTTCCGCGTAGGCAGCTCCAAAAAAAGAGTCCGTCAAGTAAGTTTGTCAGTTCCAGCTGCTCTCTAGAGCCAGTTTACGCCACTGCATTATACACATCTTTTCTGTTTCATGTGTGGCATGCGCCCCCTGTCTTTCACATTGATTCTAGAAACACACTGCTGACAGTATAACATCTCCAGTACAGTGAATGTTTTAGATACTGATCATAGCGCGTACAGTGTCTTGTTTTCATAGCTGACTTCAGATTTACTGTGATTTGTATGTGTATATTATACTGTGTTTGTACAGGAACAGGATACATGAGATACTTGAGTCTTGTGTACAGTGCCAGTTTGTTTGATGATGTTTCATCCTGCTGTGTCCTTGTGTGTTTTCAGCTGCGCAAGGACTTTGACATGGGGATAGATGTCGTGTTAGACGAAGAGCACAGCGTTCATGACGTGGCTGCATTACTGAAGGAGTTTCTGAGGGACATGCCTGACCCCCTGTTACCACGAGAACTCTACCGGGCCTTCCTGCACGCTAACCGTACGAGCTTACAATCATTATTACACAGTAACCTTATTACACAGGAATCAGGATACTCAATTAAACGGTGTAATATCCAACACACTTCTCATTATTGTATCAGCTGTTATCAAATACAGTATGCTTACCTTACAAGATGTTTTGTGTTTGTCTGACAGAGTTGAGGGGGGCAGATCAGTTGACATACCTGCAGCAGTTGTTGTACCTGTTGCCGCCCTGTAATTGTGACACCCTGCTGAGGCTCTTGACGCTTCTTCATACAGTACAGGAGAATGCAAACAGCTCTACTGGGCCCAACCAGCAGGAGGTATGGTCTGGGTTCGCAAATTTAGTCCCCTCCAAATTACTGGGATTTTTATCTCATACAGATGAGTGGTTGAGCAAGAGTTATCCGTATGTGTTATAATGAGTGGTGATATCAGAGCTAGATATAATTTTTAACTTTTTTTTTTTTATTAAAGTATGTTCATTTTTTTTCTGCATCTTGTAATCAGTGAATTCCAATGGTCTCTTTTGCACACAGCTCCCTGAAAGCAAACTGACCAGGTTCCCAATTAAATTACAAATGATAATATATATATACTTATTGTGTATGTTGGTTCTTACTGTTCTAAATGCTTTGTTGTGTCAGCATGTTTGTATGCAAGGAATCTTCGTGTGAAAAAACAAAACAAAACAAATATTTTCCAGAAAAACCTAGCAAACACCATAGATGTTTGAACAAACAGATTCTGCAGTAGTTTACAGATTTGCACTAGGTTTTTGCCTATTTGTGACAGCAAAACCTTTGGCAGGGCATTGATAAACTGGACACTGCCCTTAAAAGTTTGGTTTATTCAACTTATATCTTTGAGGTGGAAGTTGGATCTGAAGCAAATGCACCACTGCTCTTTATATGCATCTACTGACATATAAAAAAAAAGAAAAGAAAAAAGAAAACAGGAAAAAAAAGAAGAAAAAAAAGGCCTAGGCCCTTGTGTAAACCAACAAGCCATTGTCGTGTACCTGACAGTGCTAGATTTAATAACGGCGATACTAAACAAAATATATGACAGCCCCACGACAAAAGACTGTCAATCAGTTGTTTAAAATCAAATCAGAATTCTGACCTGTTTTTAAATTGGTGTTGTGATTAGATCTCAGGTAATAAGATGACGGCAGCAAACCTGGCAGTGATCTTTGGGCCCAATCTCCTGCAGAAAGAGAGAGGATCAGAGAGAGAGCTCAGTCCTCAAGCTCTGGGCATAGAAGACAGCACTGTCATCATCTCCGTCACCCTGATGCTCATCCAGAACAACCAACATCTCTTCACGGTGAGAGCTGCGGAATGATAGACACTAGAGAGTGTATACTATTAAATGAATAGGTCATTTAAAAATGAAAATATGAAAAATCATATTCCAAACACTTAAAGGGGTCATATGATGCGATTTCAATTTTTCCTTTCTCTTTGGAGTGTTACAAGCTCTTGGTGCATAAAGAAGATCTGTAAAGTTGCAAAGACTAAAGTCTCGCGTTTCAGAAAGGCGGGGCATAGAGGAGAAACAATAATGTACAGTATTTGGAAAATAATGTGTTTTTTGAACCTTAAACCGCATAAACATTTCATTACACCAAATACACAAAATAATGTTATTTTTTAGCAGCATCATATGACCCCTTTAAGACTTTTTCTTCTGTGGAGCAAAGGAGAAATGTTGAAACTTCTTTCCCTGCTCTTTTCCATGCAATGGAAACTGAAGCTTTTACATTTCAAAAGGCCACCAGCACTTCAGAATTTCTTCTTTTGTGTTCCATGGAAGAAAGTCATATGTGTAAATGGTGAAAGAATTTTCATTTTTGGGTGAACGACTTAAACTACTTCAGTCTGTGTGCATTGAATTTATTTAATTCACGAGTTTCACAATTTGAGTTGAATTACTGAAATAAATGAACTTTTCCACGACATTCTAATTTATTGAGATGCACCTGTATATTATTTGGGGGGGTACATACATATAACATATGATACATATATTATAACTTTGTATGCACAGAGATTGTAAGATGACTTTGTTGAATTCTTATTATCAAGTATTCATATACTAATAGCATGAGCATTAGTTGAGTGAGTGTTTTTTGTTTCATATGCAGGTGTCTGCTGAGCTGCAGCAGGAGGTGCTCATGAGCCTCATTCAGACGGACCCTGATGTCATCGACTATCTGCTGCGCAGGAAACTCAGGTCAGCTTTTCATTGAAAAGTGTGACACTCAGGATCCAGGGATTAAAAAACCTGTTCATTTTTACAAAGGTGGGGTTTTTTTTCCCTTTAATGGTAACTTTTAAAGAAGGACAAGCTTGTTACGTAATTGACATCGGTGCGCATTATTTTTGTTTAACTGGAATTCCTGGTGGAAAAAACATATTACCCATGATTCTTCAAATCTTCATCAGTTGGACAAGCAAATCACTTCAAAAGAGCTTCTTAGCACCTACCCACTCCCATGAAGCACTGCACAATTACTTATTAAGTAGTTGAATACTGTTTCCGGGTCCAAGCCTCCACTGTCTCAACAGAATACTATCTCAACAGCCTTTTATGTGCACAGTTCATTTATAGCACAGCTTTAAACTAAGCTTTTAGTTTTAAATAGTCATTGCATACACTACAATCTCAGGATCACAGCTTCCCAGATACCAATATTTTTATGATTCGTAAAAGATTAATCACTGTCTGGCCAACTGACATTTTGTTTTGGAGATAAAGGTTGGGATCCTGATTTTGAGGCAGTATCACAGCAGACCATGAGCATATATTATCACTGTTGTTTCTTTTGAGATCTGATATATATACCGGTATATATATATCAGTCAAGACGGCTAAAAAAGTGGGCAGGCACAGCTGCAGTCCATAATGCAATTTAATCTGAAGAATTTTCGATACAATTGCATTCTTTATCTTTCTCTATTCAAAGGACAGACCCCTGAAACCCAGACACTTTAAAAAGGGTAATGTTTACATGGTTAATGGGTTAGTTACCCTAAATGAAAGGCTGCCATTTTAACCTCATGTTTAATGTGCCTGATTACAGAGGTGAAACCACAATAATTGCTGCTGTCCAAACACTAATATACACATCTCTTCATTGTGACAGCAGTAGTAGTAGCCTGACAATGGAGACGGACTCCGGTGGAAGGAGGGACACACAGGCATCTCTGGACTCTGTGGGTCAGTCCAGTGACGACCTTTCATCCCTGGGGCCACTGTGTCCTCTTTACCCAGAGACATCTGCGATTGGAAGTCTGAGCAGTGAGGTCTTCCTCAATGTGCTTCATCTTAACACCAACAGGAAACGTGAGTAGTACAACGTTCTTCACAATGACGCAGTAGTTAGACTAGTAATAATATCTACTACCTCCTTAAAAGATAAAAAAAGTTATAAATGTTATGTAATTTTGAAATTACAATCTCCTCTACAATTCAAAAGTTTGATGTCGATATGTTTTATGCTCACTGAGGCTGCATTTCTTTGATGGAAAATACTGCAATAACAGTGATACTGTGAAATATTACAATTTAAATGAGCTGTTTTTATTTTAATATATTTAACATTTAATTTATTCCTGTGAATTTTCAGCATCCATTACTCCAGTCTTCAGTGTCACATGATCCTTCAGAAATCATTTTCATGCTGATTTTAACATTGCCGATGTTGAAAAACAGCTGTGTTGCTTAATATTTTAAGGAACTTTTTTTCAGGATTCTTTGAATAGAAAGTTAAAAAGAACACAACCGGGTTCGATCCCACCTTTTGCCGAACTTTTTTTTCTCCCTTTTTTTGTAGGCTATTAGACTGCTTCTAGAAATGCCAGTGCTCACTCTGAACAGTTTTATTCTTATTGGAGAGGGAGGAAAAGGCTGCATTTCTTTGATGGAAAATACTGCAATAACAGTGATACTGTGAAATATTACAATTTAAATGAGCTGTTTTTATTTTAATATATTTAACATTTAATTTATTCCTGTGAATTTTCAGCATCCATTACTCCAGTCTTCAGTGTCACATGATCCTTCAGAAATCATTTTCATGCTGATTTTAACATTGCCGATGTTGAAAAACAGCTGTGTTGCTTAATATTTTAAGGAACTTTTTTTCAGGATTCTTTGAATAGAAAGTTAAAAAGAACACAATTTCTTTGAAATAGAAATCTTTTGTAACATTATAAATGTCTTTACTGACACTTTTAATTATCAGTTGAATGCATACTAATAAAAGTATTAATTTCTTAAAATCTTACCAAAATTTTGAACGGTAGTGTAATTTTCTATGTGTAAATAAGCGAAACCTTATTATATGTATATTCTGTATGTGTGTGTGTGTGTGTGTGGTTGTCTACAAAAGGTTCCTCTGAGGTCCCACCCAAGTCCATTGGTAAAATGAGGCAGTTTCATTCCCACCACAACCTGTTGAGTCTGTCCCAGTCCTCCTCTAATGCCCAGGGTGAAGAGAGAGAGCTCCAGAAGCAAAGGCAAGGCAGTTCAAGGCACACGTGCTCAGAGGAGCGCCTTCATTTCAGTCTGGGACGGCAGGACAGCGGTTCTCAACCACAAAGTCCGAGAGAGAAAGGCATCTGGGTACGACAGAACTCCAACGCCTCATCCACGACGTCAGACGACAGCAAACCACCAAGCAACTTCTGGGACTTTTTCACTGGCAAGGTGTCAGGCTCAGAGACTATAGTTTGACCCCTAAGTGAACAGATGTAATGTGGGGGTTGAGTGTGGACCCGTAAAAGTATAGAGAGAGATCTGCCAGTAGATACACACACAGAAATAATGTATCTGTGGACGCTATACTGTTTATATAATATAATCTTAAATAATCCCACTCCTCTAGAACAAGACGGGTTTTCAGAATACATTAGATTATCAAAAGAATCATTATAAACCTGTCAGAATAGTGTATTTAATCAAGAAACAGACCTCTGACTATAGAATGTAAATATAGCACAGGCTGTTATAAACCTCTCTATATAGAAAGCAGCTTTTATATTCATGAATCCTCAACATGCACTCAGTGGGCACTTAAAATTTCAAAACAGTCTACATTTCAAAGGCTGAAATCTCTTATTATATTTGTTTACATTAACATTGAAGCTTTCTGAAGTTCCCCTTCTGGCTATTAGTTTTATCATTTTTCTGATGTATTGGCAGCTGAAAGGCTTGTTCTTTACCATTACAGAAACTTTTACATATAGTAATATCTTTTTTAAATAAAGTGTATATAGTACATTTTGGTAGCTCTGAGTTCTTTTTATCTGAACTAAATGAATTTGTACCGTTAAATGTTGTACATGTTGCTTTTCAGATACCTGTTGTCAGAAGAAGCCCTTCGCTGCAAAACTTCTTCAACGACCATTCACAGTCTGAGAAAAATCAGATGAAATGGAAGATGTTTTTGGAAGAATAAGACATTTTTTTGAAAACTTTTAACCATTTGGAGAACATGCTCTGAACGCATGGCATCACTGAACCACAAGGGGGTGATATTTACATAAAACTTGCATATGAATAGATCCTGTATAAATAGGCCAATTTGAAATTACCCGGACTCTGTTGGGTTGGATCAAAAGCAGGGTTTTCTCCAATAAGAATACAACTGTTCAGAGTGAGCACTGGCATTTCTAGAAGCAGTCTAATAGCCTACAAACTAACTAACTAACAAAAAAAACCCCACTGTAATCCCAAATCAACCTACCCAGCTCCATTGCAAGACTGATCAAGAACTCAAGTTCATTTAGATGAAAGGACAAAATATCTATATAGACTGAGTTGGAGCCAGGCCTTCTTTGTGCACAACCTGAAGATCAAGGTAGTTTCTCTACTCCTCATTTACTATTAATCCTTTTATTTGATTTTAATCATTTTTCTCATGGTTTTTTTCTAATCATTTTTAAATAATCTTAGAATTATGTAATCATTTTAAAGGTGCATTCAGTACTACTTCATATAGCATTAGTGGATCACCACGACAGTCTCGGCGTTTTATGTAAATTACACCGATACAAGTGAGTTTTAGAGAGCAGTCTACTACGGTGGCCGAGAAGTGCAGAGCAAATCACAATTCTGAAAACAAGATGTCTGGTCCAGTCAGCGGTGAGTAATCCCAAACCAATGGCGCTGTCTCAAACTGTACCTACCTCTTCCGGTTTGTCTGATTTGTCATTTTGTTTTCTGACTTGTAAATTTGTTTTCGGATTTGTCTTGTGTTTTCTGACTTGTTATTTTGTTTTCGAATTTGTCATTGTGTTTTCTGACTTGTTATAATGTTTTCTGAATTGTTGTTGTGCTTTCTGAATTGTTATTTTGTTTTTTAGACTTGCATTTGCGTTTGTAATTTGTTATTTTGTTTTCAGAATTTTGATTTGCTCTGCACTTCTCGGCCACCGTAGTCTACACATAATTAATTCCCTTACCCGTCCAACAAAAGAGAAGCAATTTGGGCATCCCCCTCAGTCTCATGTAGATTTTTTCCGTCATCAAATCTTTCCACCCTTTGTATGCCGTAACAATGTTGACGCCTTTTTTTTTTTCGTCAGTCTTTCTGTCATGAATTTTCTGTTTCTTCGGCGGTACAGGTACCGATTCTCCCGTTGTCTCCGCTGGTAAAGCAGGATATGTGTTCCGTTGTTAAATTCACCTGCGCATCTCCAACAACACTACGTAGGGTTGCCCAGTCCGCGGTTTTCCCGGAGCTGGGCTACTTTTAAACTCTTGCTGCGGGTTCCCCCTCGGGTAAATGGTTTGGCATATTAAATAAATTATCTTTGACTGAAATGTTTTTTATTCTACCAGTGAAAAAACTGCAGAAGTTGTTAACTTTTGTGAATTAAGGAAGGTCATTTGTAGGGTGCCTTTGAACTGCGTTTATGGTCACTTCATAACAGTGACTGTAAAATATGTATAGATATGGGATTTAGATATGGGAATTTCATATTTTGAGCTTTAATATTTGGGATATGTGACCCTGAACCACAAAACCAGTCTTAAAGGGTTAGTTAAAGCTGTTTAATGGCACTCAGCGGGTGTTGCATGCATCAGTCCAAAAGAAGTTAAATAAAAAGCGCCCATCCATTAAAAAAAGTGTCTCACACGGCTCCGGGGGTGAACAAAAGCCTCCTGTAGCGAATCCATGCGTTTTTTTTGTAAGAAAAATATCCATATTCAAAACGTAATAATCACTTAATCATTTTAATCTAACTCAGACTGGATCCGTCTGAAAGAAGAAAGTCATATACACATAGGATGGCTCTGGGTTGAGTAAAACACAGCCTAATTTTCATTTTTAGGTGAACTAACCCTTTAAGTCGCTGGGGTATATTTGTAGCAATAGCCAAAAATACATTGGGTCAAAATTATAGATTTTTCTTTGATGCCAAAAATCATTAGGATATTAAGTAAAGATCATGTTCCATGAAGATATTTTGTAAATTTCCCACTGTAAATACGAAAAGACAACTTTAAAGGCGATTTTCTCAATATTTAGATTTTTTTTGCACCCTCAGATTCCAGATTTTCAAATAGTTGCATCTCGGCCAAATATTGTCCTATCCTAACAAACCATACATCAATGGAAAGCTTATTTATTCAGCTTTCAGATGATGAATAAATCTCAATTTCGAAAATTTTCAATTTTGTCATTTCGAATCTCAAAATTGACCCTTATGATGGTTTTGTGGTCCAGGGTCACATATGGTCACTGGGCTATTTCGTTATGCATACCTGGCAACCCTGACACTACTCAACTACAGTAACTACCGAGGCGCCAGCCAATGAGCGTGAGGATTTTCTCAGTCTTTTCAAAATAATACTTTCTTTAGGCTATTAAAAACTATTTAGTCCAGTCTTCGTCTCATGCGAGTGTACAGCATTAAAACGACTCTTCACAAAACCACAATATATTTCTTAATGTATAAAACTTTTTAACTTTTTCCCTACCAAACACGGAATTTTCCGGGTTTCTGCGTTTTCTATGCTCTTTATATGCTCGGGGGCGCTATTACACATCTCCTGAATGAGTGCAGAATCTCCCGATTTCAAAAACAGACGAGGAAGATGCAGAAACGAGCGATCTCATATGTAAGCAGATGCATATGAAAAATATTGCAGTCATCAACAATAAACAGCATATAAATGAAAACTGCCAAAGTTAAATGTCGATCCCGGAAGTGGTAAAGGACTGTGAAGCTTTGGGGGTGCTGGTGGAAGCGATCTACTGCATCTTTGCGTTGCATCATCGAACTGAATATGATTCAGATATAGCATTTGATAAAAACGCTCAAAATGTTGCTTTTTATGAAACTGACCTTCACTCGTGTTGATAAAAAAAAATGAATACGTGAAGCTAGAATACATTTTTTAGAGTATTGCATGTTCAGATATTCATACAACAAAATATTCTGGGGGCCAAGAAAGTTTAGTGAAAATGATCAAAAATGCTGGCGGTGGCTGGCAACATTTTTCAAAAACGCTGGCGGCGAGTCAATTTAACACCAAACTTCTGAATGCACCTGGCCATGAACTTATTAGTCTCCAAACAGAATAGTGAAGAATGAACGTTACTAAAAAGACCAGCATTTTATTTATTTTTTACTTTAAGTGTTTGCAAATATTAGTTTTGTGAAAATGTACTTTCATGAAAGTGATTACATGTTGGCACAAGCTATGATCGCTTGAAACCACATGGGTGTTGCCCAGTTTAATAGCATCATAAAGAAGCACAGACCAAATGAACCCCCTGGAGGTGGTTGATGTGTTTTTGTTTGTTTTTTATTTGGGACAGGGTGAGTCCCATCTTTCATCCATGCTGTCCACTCCACTCCAAAACCAGATAATTCACCTGGTTTACAATTTGTACATTGCTTTATCGAAAGTGCACTTTTCTTTTCAAACCCAGTATGGAATAAACATTATTACAATGTTATTGGAAGGGGCAGGATGAAACACAACTAACATTAGCATGACGTAGCATTAGCTTGTGTTTGTCTCATGTTTTGATGTAGTTTATGTCTGTCTGCTAATGCCAAAACTCTCAGGGTGCTGTTAATGTAATCAGTGCATTAACTGTTTCTATGACTAGTAACAAGTCTCAAGATTGCAGCATTAATCTGATAATTCCAACATCATCAACCTTACATTTCTGTTTCACCGCTCTCTCCACATAACATACAACAGACCTGGTGTCCAAATAAAGAACAAATGAACAAATGTATAAAAAATGAGAATGTCAAAGAAAAGTTAATATAACATTTATAATTACACATAAATAAAAGCCCAAATAAAAGAAACATTCCTTCCACCTTAACTACTAGATCACAAGCCAATTTCAAAAATAATATATCCAGTTAACTCAGCTTGGACAAGCCTTAATTCAACTGTGATGATGACACATCTACAAACACTCTTACATAGCATGTGTAAATGTGTAATTTACATGACATGGCACCATATGTCAGTTTATTTCAACATATAGCTCAGTCTACTTAATGCCAGCAGGTAAACTGACCAGCGAGAAGCTTAAACTTCTGTACAAACATTGTGATGTCTTGTTTATAAGACCTTTATACATGCTTTATAACAATGTCAAGAATTGTTATACCACGCATGCATTGATACCAACTAGACTTTACAGGATGAATGGAATAATAATCAGCAGCACTGTTAGTTTTGACCCTTCACAGATTAAAGCGCATTTTTGTCAAACCAACAATCAAATAAAACCAGTGTAGTTTACAAAGGAAACCTGAAATGAAAAAACCAACCACCTTTTAATTTTTATACTATCCATTTTAGTCACAACTATTCGGTTGGGGAAAAAATTAGATGAGGACAACAGGCTAGGCAATTTTGTTTCTGAAAACCTTTCAAGAAAAACCTTAGCAAAACTGGAATATTTTACCGCGGTACCTCACTAGTATGTACTTTTTGCCTTACAAGACTTCAATACCTAATCTTGCTGAGTGCGTTTATTTTTTGCCTATAAATCTAATTGCAGGGTGGTCTAGTCTTGTAAATATTTACTAGCTGCGAGTGAACTGGGAGAAGTGGCTCATCCTTCTGGCTGTGCAACATCCACAAACTAGAACCAATCCTTTCCTGAGTCCCCTTAACCAATCTAACCATCACTGAGCCATTCAGGTTTGAGCAAGTCACAGCTTAAGCCTGGCATTTACAGACAGATCTAAAACTGTACTTCAGCATCGGCTGTACTTCACTTCCCATCTAGGTCTATGCTGAGTTAAAACATTATTAAGTGGGCAGAGGAGACTATAGAGATCTAGAGAAGAGTTGCTGAGATTAAAGAGTAGATGCAGCCAATTCAATCGGCTTAATGAATCAGGAGACTTTATAATGGAGTTATAAAGGTGATACACTACCCTCATATTATGTTTGAATTAACCAACATTTCGACTGTTTAATGGCTAAACTGAATGAGTCCACATTCATTTCAGACAAGCTCACAGTGTTAATGAAACACGACTGGAAATGTGTGCAGCATTTGGTTTCAACAAGACAGGTATTTATGAGCTTTAACTTGTATTCAGAATAATATAAAGCCCTAATTTCTATCTCCATCTGTTACGCTTTACAGTTAGTGCGCACTATATGACACAATCAAGCTGTACACTCACTTGCAGTGCACAAGAACTAGCAGAATGTTTTACATTCGTTGAATACTGAAAGAGCATTCTTAAGCCAAGCCACATCCTGTATACAGGCACTACTCTGGTATCCACAATCCTCTCTACTTAACAGAGCAGAGCACCCATCAATCCACAGGCCCTACATGAAATCACTTGTCAAGTTCTCAACACAAAAAATGCTCATCCCCTTCAAGCTAATTTAAACATGGTCAGGTTTATCCATTCAGGTGGAGCAGCTCTACTATAATTACAACATGAGCTACTGGTTCTGCATACAACACATTTATAACTAGCTGGTTGACACTGATGTAGCATGATGTGCCATGTTTGACACTGCAGATGGACATCTGAGGGTGAAGAACTGTCAAGCGGCTTTCTGGACTGATCATGACATTGTGTCAAAACAAAAATCATGACACACCACCCAGCGATGACGAACGTGATGTGTAGAGAAGTGAACCAGATTATCAAAATGAACCTTATTACTATGTGTGGTGGGGGAAAACAAAGGTTTGTACAATGTCCATTCTCAGGCCATCAAGACATATGTTTAGCTCATTTCACATGTATATATGTGCGTTTTGGTGTGTGCCGAGCAACACAAAGCAGGCGAGTGAGTCGAAGGCGAACCAGATGGCGATTACTTCTGCCTGATGATTACTGTGCTGTGTCCAGGTCACTCTGACATCAACTGCTCCTGCCTGGGGCCCGATTGATGCTCCGGTGCAAAGCTCCACTGATAAGCCTGGATGAAAAGGGACTTGACTGAGAGGGGATGGAGCAGGGGGCCGAGCTGTGTCAACAAAGCCCAAGCCTCCCTATCTGCCTGATCCGGTCTCTTACAAATCACGCCCTCCCATTCTGTCAGTCACTCCTGCTGGCTCAGTCTCTAGACTGGTAGAAGAGTATATACCCTGACTCAGAGTTTTTGGAGATGTCCGATGTCAAACCGAAGAATTCCTCGATCGCTTGGGCGTCTATTTTCTGTGTGGGGGAAAAAAAAAGAGAAAGAGATACATAACTGGATTTAAAGGAAAACGTATTTAATCTGTTGTGATCATTTCTGAAAACAAACCTCATTGGTTCTTGCGTGCTTGTATGACACATAAGAACATGGTTCTCATTTTAAACAAGCACGTTTCAGCTTCAGTTTGTGATATTTGATGTGCACTATGTATGTGCATTGATCAATGTTTATATGTGAATAAAGGCCTAAATTAAATATGTTTGTCATATAAAGTGATCGTGTTTCTTCAGAAGATTTGGATTAAACTGATCAGTTCATATGGATCACAATTACTTTCATTTTATATATACGTTTTAAAGCGTCAAAAGTTTTCAGTGAATGGATTTTCAATGAAGGGACCGAAATCTCAGATTTCATTAAAAAATTATTTCCTCGAGTTCCAAAGATGAGCAAAAAAAGTCTTACAGATTGGAACAACATGAGCAACAGGATATTTCAACCAAAAATGAACATTCTATCATTTAATTACTCTGTCATTCCAAACCTGCATTGTAGACGTTTTGAAAAATGTCTTTCATTTTTATTATTTATTGCATACAACAAAACTCTCTTTTGTGTTTCACAAACGAAGGAAAGGTTTGGATCCCTTCAAATGATGAAGCATGTGATTTCTGTGCAATTAGCAACACCGAACGTAGGGATGTAACGATTACCGGTTTGACGATAAATCGTGATAAAATACCCCACGGTTAGTAATACCGTTTCATATTTTAATTATCACAATAACCGTATTCGATTACCGCGATTTGAACAACTGAGGATAAATAAATACTGTCCAGCACAGGGCTCCGACCAGAGTGCGACCAGATGGACGCATTTTGATTTCATTTTTTCTGCCGGTGCGACTAAATTTTTTGTGCGGTCGCACTGGCGCGAACACCGCATTGTTTAACTCATAAGCGCTGCCATTTCTGTTGTATATGTGAAGCAGCCAGAGACTCACCGCGCCTTCAAAAAAATCCAGCTGAAGTGCGTGGACCAAAAAAGGTTACCCAAAGATGAAGAGCTTGAAAAGAGTCCGCACATTCAAACATTAAAGCATCACAAGCGAGATGAGAACGATACATGCAATTTACTGAATAAAACAAGGCAAACGTTTCGGTCACATGTTATGCAATTAAAACGGATTCTTTCACTAGCACCACCACTCAGAAAACATTCAAAATTAGAGAGACTATCACTTGTTCATCGTCTTTTGTTATTTATCTTATTTCATGCCCATGTGGTCTACAGTATATTGGCAAGACTAATCGTCAATTAAAGACCCGTATCAACGAGCACAGGAGCTCTATTAGAAGGATGGACATTCATTCTCCTGTAGCCAGACATTTTGTGGATGCTGACCATAAACTTAGTGATATGAGATTTACAGGTATTCAGAGATTGATCAGTTCAAGAAGAGGTGGTGATTCTAACAAAAGACTGTTACAATGTGAAGCTAAGTGGATCTATTATATGGACTGTGTATATCCGAAGGGATTAAATGAAGAACTTCAATTGTCTTGTTTTTTATGAACAGTACTTTTGTTAACTCCAACAGACAACCATTGTTCTCTAATTTGATGTAAATTATCCATTGCTCTACATATACACACATTGTGGCCTTTTATTATTATATATTTTTTTCTCTCTGTGTGTGTCCTGATTGATCATGTGATCTCTTTAATTATCATGTGATTCCTTAAATTAAGATGGCTTCTAGTTCTAACACTGTTAGCTTGGCATTGAAAATGGTCAACATGTGACCGAAACGTTTGCCTTGTTTTATTCAGTAAATTGCATATATCGTTCTCATCTCGCTTGTGATGCTTTAATGTTTGAATGTGCGGACTCTTTTCAAGCTCTTCATCTTTGTTGTATATGTGAAACATCAAACGGCAAACGAAACTGAAAGCATAACGAAACCGCGCTACTCGTTTAAACTGCGCAGCGCTTATAGAAGTTTATACTCACCGCGTCAGCAGGAGCGCAGGCTCTCTTTTTTATTTATTTGATTCCTCAGTGTTTGCTAAACATTCTGTAATGTATTAGTCTGTATATAATACAGCATGTGGTGTATGCCATGCCTCGTGTTATTCGTTTTTGTTAATAAACGTTTTGTAAGCTAGTTTGTCATTGTATCTTACTGTTTTATTGTTGTTATGCTTTTTAATTAAGAACAACAATGAATACATCTTTTGTTTTAGTCCTAAAAAGTGAAATATGTATAGATGTATGTAAGCAAATCAGACAATTATCTTTTCTTGTAAAACGTGACACCAAGATCGCGAATTCGAAAGTGGAAAGCACCCGAACCCTGGCTTATAACATTGCAAAATAAGAACTCCCGTTCACAAAATTCAAATCACAAATAATACTGATGAAAAAGAAGGGGTTGAATGTTAACCACTTTCGTTTTCATATAACTATAAACTATGATAAAAGTTCATCAGCATGCATTGATTAATCCCATGTTGTAGCGCAAAAATAAATAAATAAATA